ACAGAGGGCACACACAGCTGGGCACAGCGTGGCCCCCCTGCTGCTGCCGGGGCAGGTGGCAGAGGGCAGTGCCAGCGCTGGGGCTGCGTGTCACCGGGCTGTCCCTGCAGACTTGGTCGAGCGGTGGCAGAACAAGGACAAGTTCTACTACTACCACCAGAAGTTCCGCCGTGTGCCTGACCTGAGCCAGTGCCTGGAGGGTGACTACCTGTGCTACTACGAGGCCGAGGCTCAGTGGAGGAGGGACAGGTAGGCTGCCCCTGGGCTGTCCCCAGGCGAGGTCACAGCAGAGCACAGCTCTGGGACCTGCAGCGTTTTGGGGATGCTGGGGAGCTGAGGCAGCACCTCCATTACACATCAGTGTCCTGCTGTCCCTGCAGCACACCTGGGCATGGTGGCAGCATTAGGGTGCTGGAAGTCCCAGAGCTGACATTGCACAGGGTGTCCTCGGTTCAGCTTTTCTCGTGGCTGCTGTTGCATTCCTCACCATCTCTCCCCAGGATGGTTGATCAGGAAATCGTGGAGATAGTCCGGGAAAGGATGGCTGCGTGCAAGCAGAGGGAAGGGCCCAACCAGTTCCAGAACTGTGCCAAGGAGATGGAGCTGCTGGCACAGGTCACCAAGGCCTACCAGGACAGATGTGAGTGTGGCAGCAGCACACGGGGCAAGGGCTCTAAACCCAGGGAAGGGGCTCTGGAAGCACATCCCACTGCATGGAACACGGTGGGAGGCACTGCTCAGGCATCTCCTTTCTTTTTCAGACGGTGATCTGGGTTACCATGGCAATGCACGGACATGCCTGATGAAGCAGAAGCACAGGATGATGGAGGAGAGGAAAGCAGCTCAAGAGAATCAGTAGAGCGACAACAGTTCCTCCCTCCATGCTGACTGCATGCTGCTTCCTTGGCCTCCACAATAAACACACATCTGTACAGCTGGGCTCTGTATTCGTTCTTGGAACAGCTCTGCTCAGCTCCAGGCTCTTGGGGCTGCCACTGCTGGGGTTTGCCCTCTCCTCCAGGAGCCTCCAGAACACTCCGTGTGCTGCTCTGCCCTGGCTCTGAACTCCAAGTGCCCAAGGCCAGGCTGGACAGAGCTTGGAGCAGCGTTGTTCACTGCAAGGTGTCCCATGGCAGGAGCTGGAACTGGAGGAGCTTCCAGGTCCTTTCCAACCCTCCCATTCCATGGCTTAACCCACCTGCCCCGAGCACCACCCCATCACAGGAAGCAGATTCCTGGTTCTCTGATCAATTTATTCTGCTACAAAACCCTTCAGGTGGTGGCCACAGCGGCTGCCTGGGTCCTCTGCACCGACACCCTGGTGTGGGTCTTGGCCAGATGATCAGTGAACTCCTGCAAAGAACACCAACGGGGTTATTCCCTCCAGCCCCTCACGGGTTCCTCAGCACCCCTCCCTCGTGTGCACTGGGGCGGGGGTGGCTCTGCTTTAGAGCTACCAAACCTTCGGGTACAGAAATCCAAACGTTAGGGGCAAGAAGGTCTGAGCTGTAAGTTAGCCAAATGCTCTTACCTGGTAGGGAGACTTGGTGAAGACAGTCTCCTTCCAGAGGTCAGGAGTCAGGTAGCTGTAGGTCTTGGAGATGGCATCGAAGGTGGCTTTAGCTGCAGAGATGTCACACAGTCACACACTGCCACCCAACGGCTGCAGAACCAGCCCGCCGATCAACCCACAGCTCCAGTATCCCCCAGTCACAAAAATGTGGAATTTTGCAAGGATCAGGGAGACCAGGGAGGGCCCCTCTGATGAACCCACAAAGCTCAGGTTGCTCTCTCTCTCCAGTTACGACAATTACACCACGGCACACAGGTGCAATCGCGCAGATTGGGAGATTCAGGAGTGTTGAACCCCGCGGTTCTGTAACTCCGCCAGACCCTGCGGCAGGACTGACCGTGCTGTCAGCACGAGGCACGAACCGCTGTCACACGGAGCTGCTGTGGCAGCCCCAGAGCTCACCGAAGTTGCCCAGCGTGGCCGTGCAGCCCCGCGCTGACGTGTAGCAGTCATCGATGCCGGCCATCATCAGCAGCTTCTTGGGGACAGGAGCGGACACGATCCCGGTGCCGCGGGGGGCCGGGATCAGGCGCACCAGCACGGAGCCGCAGCGCCCGGTGACCTGCGGGGACACGGTGGGTCACAGCCCCGAGGGCACCGGGATGAGCGTGGCCGTGCAGCCCCGCGCTGACGTGTAGCAGTCATCGATGCCGGCCATCATCAGCAGCTTCTTGGGGACAGGAGCGGACACGATCCCGGTGCCGCGGGGGGCCGGGATCAGGCGCACCAGCACGGAGCCGCAGCGCCCGGTGACCTGCGGGGACACGGTGGGTCACAGCCCCGAGGGCACCGGGGCCAGCGGGACGCTCACCTTGCAGGGCACCCACCCTGCAGGGCACCCCACCGTGCAGGGCACCCCACCTTGCAGGGCACCCACCTTGCAGGGCACCCCACTGTGCAGGGTACCCCACCTTGCAGGGCACCCACCTTGCAGGGCACCCCACCTTGCAGGGCACCCACCTTGCAGGGCACCCCACCTTGCAGGGCACCCACCTTGCAGGGCACCCCACCTTGCAGGGCACCCACCTTGCAGGGCACCCCACCTTGCAGGGCACCCACCTTGCAGGGCACCCCACCTTGCAGGGCACCCACCTTGCAGGGCACCCCACCTTGCAGGGCAGCCACCTTGCAGGGCACCCCACCTTGCAGGGCAGCCACCTTGCAGGGCACCCCACCTTGCAGGGCACCCACCCTGCAGGGCACCTCACCTTGCAGGGCACCGTGTGCGGCTTGCCGATCTTGTTGCCCCAGTAGCCGCGCCGCACGGGCACGATGGACAGCTTGGCCAGGATGATGGCCCCACGGATGGCCGTGGCCACCTCCTTGGAGCACTTCACCCCCAGCCCCACGTGGCCGTTGTAGTCCCCGATGGCGACGAAGGCCTGCAGCACAAGAGGAGTTCTCACCGCCCCGGCCAGGGTGGGGTGCGCTCAGCAGGAGCTCGCAGCTCACCCCCAAACCTTACACACAGTTCTCAAAACCCGCTTTTGCCCTCAGAGTTCATCCTTCAGGCAGAACCAGCCAGGCACTGGGAATCAGTTCCCTGCTGCAGCCTCACTCTGGTCACAATTCCCCACGATTTCACAGCAGCGTTCCCTGCTTATTCCCCACACTTTTCCCTGAAAACCCAATGCTGCTGTGCAAGAATTTGACAGCGTCAGAAAAGTTTTCTTAAGAAGTTTCAAAGCCCAACTTTTGGGCCAGTGCTGCTTCAAGCAACATCTGCACACATCACTGATGTTTTAAATTTAATACATTTAACAAACTGCTAATGATCCTCACAACAAAATAATTATTTACTAGACGTGACAGTAGAAGACGTTTGGAGTGATTGAAGTGACTCTGGAAGTGCAGAAAGGGAAGATCCAGAGAAAGGGGGTTACCTTGAACCTGGTGCGCTGCCCAGCACGGGTCTGTTTCTGCACAGGCATGATCTTCAGCACCTCATCCTTCAGCGAGGAGCCCAGGAAGAAATCGATGATCTCCGACTCCTGCAAGAGTCAGCACTGAGCGCACAGGAATCACGGAATCCTGCGATGGTTTGGGGTCACAGGTCAGCTAACCCAACCCCCTCCCAAGGGTAGGGACATCTGCCACCGTCCCAGGCTGCTCCCAGCCCCATCCAGCCTGGCCTTGGACACTTCCAGGGATCCAGGGGCAGCCACAGCTTCTCTGGCAATCTGTGCCAGGGCCTCACCACCTTTACAGGAAACAATTCCTCCCCAGTTTCCTATATGATGCTGTCCCAAGTCCCTCTCCAGCTCTCCTGGAGCCCCCTTAGGCTCTGAGGTGTCCCCAGAGCCTTCCTTTCCCCAGGTGAACAACCCCTGCTCCCCCACCCCTTGGAGCATCTCCCTGACGCTTTGCTTCTATATCCACAGCAACTCACCTTGATGGGAAGCGAGAAGAGATAAATCTCCTCGAGAGACTTGATCTTCATATCCTTGACCAGGCGCCCGAGTTTGGTGACAGGAATCCACTGGCAGAGAAATCCACGGGCAAGAGTCACCGGGGGCCAGCACCCGCCGGGACGCGGCTCTGCTGCCCCATCCTGGGGCTGGCAGCGCCCCCGTCCCCGCTCCCCGCTCCCCACTCACCTCCTTATCCTCGGCTTTACCCCCGCGGGCCCCGCGGCCTCTCCCGCGGCCCGTCCCAGGCTGCTCCCAGCCCCATCCAGCCTGGCCTTGGACACTTCCAGGGATCCAGGGGCAGCCACAGCTTCTCTGGGAATCTGTGCCAGGGCCTCACCACCTTTACAGGAAACAATTCCTCCCCAGTTTCCTATCTGATGCCGTCCCAAGTCCCTCTCCAGCTCTCCTGGAGCCCCTTTAGACTCTGAGGTGTCCCCGGAGCCTTCCCTTCCCCAGTGAACAACCCCTGCTCCCCCACCCCTTGGAGCATCTCCCTGACGCTTTGCTTCTATATCCACAGCAACTCACCTTGATGGGAAGCGAGAAGAGATAAATCTCCTCGAGAGACTTGATCTTCATATCCTTGACCAGGCGCCCGAGTTTGGTGACAGGAATCCACTGGCAGAGAAATCCACGGGCAAGAGTCACCGGGGGCCAGCACCCGCCGGGACGCGGCTCTGCTGCCCCATCCTGGGGGCTGGCAGCGCCCCCGTCCCCGCTCCCCACTCACCTCCTTATCCTCGGCTTTACCCCCGCGGGCCCCGCGGCCTCTCCCGCGGCCCCTCCCGCGGCCGCGCCCGCGGCCCCGCAGCCCGGTCCCGAATCCACCGCGGAAGCCCCCGCGGGCCGCTCCCGCTCCTCCCGCAGCACCGGCGTCGTCCGCCATTTGCTGGAACAAAGCGGGACATCAGGCGGGCGGCGGCGGCCACGGATGGGGCCGGATGGGGCCGGATGGGCCGGGCCGGGCCGGGCCGCTCCCGCCATACTTACGTGATTCCCTCAGCGTAGAAGGCCGCGCTGCGGCGCCGCGCGCTATTTATACCGCGCGGGCATCTCGCGAGAGCCGCGCGGGCCCTGCGCGCTGGATGATGCATACACGGCGGGGCGGAGCGGGTGTTGTTTATGCAGTTTGCGTTGTTTATACAGCGCGCGGGGCGGGCGCGGCTCGCGGGGCCTCCGGGCGCGCGCGGGCGGAGCGCGCAGAGCGCAGCGCGGCGGCGAGCGGTGAGGAGCTGAGGGTGCGGGCGGGCGGGCGGGACGGCACTGCCGCGTCTCCCTCCTCCCCTGCGCCTTCAGCCGCTGTAAAACTCTGCCGGGAAACGGTTGTGGTGCTGCCCGAGCCGCTGCCCGGCCGCTGGAGTGCAGGGAGCGCCCCGGAAAGGCGCTCCGGGGGACGCGGTAGCGCCCGGCGCGGTCTGAAAATCACTCGGGGTCTGCTGTGGCCCCGGGTGAGATAACGGCGCCCAGAGCATCGGGAACATTAAGCTTGTTGCCCACGGCCGTGTGTGGGGAATGAAACCCATGTTCCCATAAGCGCCGTGCCGGCGGGTACGGGCGCTGCGGGTTCCGGGGCTGGGCCTCAGCTTTGCTCTCCGCCCCAGGTGCCGTTCCGGGCCGCCGGGAGCTCCACGGCCACGCCGTCCACCAGGAGCTGTGAAGAGCACGGGGCTGCCGCGATGGACGGCGACGCGGGAGTCACAGCTGGGAACGACTCGGCTTTGTGTTGTGATGTGCAATAAAAGATGAAGTGCTTAAAAGATGGAGCGTCTCGCTTGTTTCTAATTGTCAAAAGTTCTACTTCTCGCTGTGGTCAGGGAGTTCTATTTTACGCTTCCTTGGGGCGGTTGTGCTGGAGAACGCTCCGGACGGCGGAGGAGCTGCTCGGGGCCGGGCTGTGGCCGCTTGCTCGGAGGAACGGGCAATTCCCATCCCGTTCTCCGGAGCCGCTCCCCGCGTGGCGCTGGTGGCGCCCCTCGTGGCGTCACTGGAGCGGCCGGAAGCGTTCCCTCACTTCCCGGAAGTGGCGGCCGGAAGCACGTGGGCCGCGGCCATGGCGGACACGGACGCGGCCGCCGCCGTTCCCGTGCGCTTCAAGAGCAAGTGAGGGACCGGCGGGACCGGGCTGGGGCTGCGAGGGCGAGCCCCGGGTCGGGCCGGGCCTCGCCTCGCCTCGCGACCGGAGCCCCCCGGCCGCCGCCGCTCCGCTTTAACGGAGCCTCTCCGCGCGTTTCTTTCCCTTCCAGCTACGCCGCGACGCGGAAGATCGAGCCGTTCTACAAAGGAGGGCGAATCCAGGTAATCCCGGCTCTGGAGGGACAGCTGGCAATGCGGCGCCTCCTGGCTCTAACGTTCCCGATCCCTTTTCCCCAGATTAGCCGGGATGGGAAGTTCATGTTCTGCCCCTGTGGGAGCAAAGTCAACGTGATCGATGTGGAAACCGGAGCGCTCCTGCACAGCCTCCAGCAGGTGACCGGGACCGGCCTCTCCCGAGCGGTCTGCGAGGCTCCCGGAGGGTTTTCTCCCTGCGGATACAAAGCTCCCAGGAGCGAGGAGTGCAGGGAGGGTGGGAACGGCCCAAGCGCAGGTTTTGGGTGGTCCCGAGCTGTGCTCAGGGTCAGCAGAGCCCTCAGAGAAGGGAGCTCTGAGATCTCTGCAGGGATGGTTTCACTGTGGCATTCCCCTCTGTTTTGCCAGGATGAGGAAGAGGATGTCACAGCATTCGTGCTGAGCCCTGATGATGAGGTGGGTTGAGCACCTGGGACAGGCTGAGCCAGGAACGGGGAGGGGATTTTGGGGTGTCTCTGCAGGGCCAGGGCTTGGACTCGATGATCCTTGTGCATCCCTTCCAGCTGGGGATACTCCATGGTTCCATTCCATGCCCTGTGTGCTTCCTGAGATCCCCTGGGAGCCTTCTCAGGGGGTCACACTCACCCCTGTGGGTCACACTCACCCCTGAGGGGCACACTCACCCCTGTGGGTCACACTCACACCTGCCCAGAGCCTGAGCTCCCCAGCAGCTCCCTGTGCCATGTGGCACTGACAGGAGCCTAAACCCAGCCCGTGTTCAGGCTGTCCCTTGTCCCTGTGTCCCTTGTCCCTGTGCTCAGGCTGTCCCTGTGTCCCTTGTCCCTGTGCTCAGGCTGTCCCTTGTCCCTGTGTCTCTTGTCCCTGTGCTCAGGCTGTCCCTTGTCCCTGTGTCCCTTGTCCCTGTGCTCAGGCTGTCCCTGTGTCCCTTGTCCCTGTGCTCAGGCTGTCCCTGTGTCCCTTGTCCCTGTGCTCAGGCTGTCCCTTGTCCCTGTGTCTCTTGTCCCTGTGCTCAGGCTGTCCCTGTGTCCCAGGTGCTGGTGACAGGCAGCCGGGCGCAGCTGCTGCTGTGATTCAGGCTGTCCCTTGTCCCTGTGTCCCTTGTCCCTGTGCTCAGGCTGTCCCTTGTCCCTGTGTCCCTTGTCCCTGTGCTCAGGCTGTCCCTGTGTCCCTTGTCCCTGTGCTCAGGCTGTCCCTGTGTCCCTTGTCCCTGTGCTCAGGCTGTCCCTGTGCCCCTTGTCCGGCTGTCCCTTGTCCCTGTGTCCCTTGTCCCTGTGCTCAGGCTGTCCCTGTGTCCCTTGTCCCCGTGCTCAGGCTGTCCCTGTGTCCCAGGTGCTGGTGACAGGCAGCCGGGCGCTGCTGCTGCGCCGCTGGCGCTGGAGGGAGCCCAGCTGTGAGCGCTCGTGGCGAGCCGTGCACACCGCGCCCGTGGCCACCATGGCCTTCGACCCCACGGCCACCCTGCTGGCCACAGGTACGAGCCACCTCTGTCACAGAGGGCCTTTCCTGCTCCTGCAGAGCTCCCAGGGCAGGGCCAGCAGAGGTTCAGGCCCAGAGCCGTGTCCAGCCGGGATTTCTGCTGGATTCCCACGGCTGTCCCCTCCGGAGCTCAGTCCCAGGTGTCCTTCTCTTCCCAGGGGGCTGTGACAGCACCATCAAGGTCTGGGATATGGTCAAACACTACTGCACACACAACCTGAAAGGATCCTCTGGAGTGGTTCAGTAAGGAGCAGTGCTGTTTGTCAGCCCTTGGCTGTGCTGGGATGCTGGGATTGAGGTGCAGTTCTTGAGTTAATGCAACATTCCCAGCAGGTTCTGGGCTCTTCCTGGCTCTTGAGAGCAGGGTTATGGCTGATTCTGCCCAGAGAGGCAACAGTTTGCTCAAGAATTTTCAAGGAATCACAGAATTGTTGGGCAGGGACACCTCCCCCTAGGCCAGGATGCTCTGGGCCCACCCAAGCTGTCCTGCTGTGGGGTGGGCATTATTCAAAGGCCGGGGGTTTATTCCTGTGCTGTCCCTCTGCTCCTGCCCAGCCTGGTGGAGTTCCACCCCGACGCCTCCCGCCTGCAGCTCTTCTCCTCCTGCATCGATTACAAGATCCGCATCTGGGACCTGAGCTCCAGCAAGTGTGTGGCAGTGCTGGAGGGACACTTCAGTGCTGTCACCTCGCTGGCCTTTGCAGACGGGAACAGCCTGCTCAGGTACCTCCTGGCAGGGCTGGGACCTCCATCCATTCACCTCCTGCAGCGCTGGGGGATCCTGGAGGGTCTGGTGGGTTCTGCTGGGAGGGGGAAGGGGTTGTGCAAGTGCTCAGTGGGTGTGCATTGGAATCATGGAATGGTTTGGGTTGGAAGGGACCTTAAATCCCATCCAGTGCCACCCTGCCATGGGCAGGGACAGCTTCCACTGTGCCAGGGTGCTCCAAGCCCCATCCAACCTGCCTTTGTTCCTGGGAATACCCTGTGCTGGCACAGGGAATGCTGCTGCTCTCTCTCATGGCCTCTCCAGAGAGGTGTTGAGCTCCCACAGTGCCAAATTTGCACCCAGAGCCAAGCTGAACAGGTTTAGCACTAAAACTGAGCTTTTTGTTTGCAGCTCTGGCCGTGACAAGATCTGCATGGTCTGGGACCTGGAGAGCAGGCAGAGCAAACGAACCGTCCCTGTCTACGAGGTGAAACTGCTTTTTGTTCCTTCCTTTGATGCCCTCTGTCATTTCTAGGCCATGGTCTCCCTGTTCAGGGTCTGTATGTTGTGAAATCAGGTTTCTTCCCTTCCCAGGGGTTTCAGCTCTGGGTCTGTGCCTCTCTGACTCTTGCAGACCGTGGAAGCTGCTGTGTTGTTGCCTGAGGAGGGAGATTTCTCTCAGCTGGGCGTGAAGAAACAAGGGCTGCACTTTGTCACAGCTGGCAGCAAAGGTGAGTGTCACTTTTGGAGCCTCAAGGGTGGCACTCAGTCACTTCAGTGCTGTTATTCCCAGGCTGTGTGTTCTCCATGTGGCAGGAGCCTTGGGTGGAGAGCAGAGCCTGCTCCTGTGTTCCTTGGCAGGGTGGCACAGATCCATTTACTACTCAAACACATTTATCTCTCTTTTCCAACTCGATGAGTTTGATTGAAGAAGCAAAACCTCGAGGCTTTTCCAGCCACTGCATCCTGCCCAGTCTCGCCTTTGGAGCTGCGTGCCTTTTCCCACCGTGCTTTGGATGATGTTCCCTGGACATCCACTGTGTGAAGCAGTGGCTGTGCCACAGTTTCTCCTGTTTCCCCAGGCATGCTGAGGGTGTGGGAGGTGGCCACAGGTGCCTGTGTGCACAGCCAGGCCGTGCCCTTCGCGCTGCGGGAGGAGCCGAGCGAGCGCAGCCTCTCCCAGTGCCAGTTTGTGCCCGCCAGGAACGAGATCCTCACCGTGTCCATGGAGCACAACATCGTCTTCTATGATGCTCAAAGCCTCCAGCTCAGGAAGCAGGTGACAGCCCTCAGCATCCCTGTCCCTTTGTCCGTGCTGCAGGACCAGCTGTGCTGCTGGAAAAAGCACCGAGGGTGCCTTGGCTCCAGCCTGTTCTGGGATTGTTCCATGAGGCCACAGAATTCCACTGGTTTTGGGGGAATGTTGTGAGAGACCGACACAGGAACAAGAAAACAGAACAGACTTAGCCAGAAATGCCTCCTGTGTGTAGAAATTACACCCAGTATGAGATGAAAACCAGGCACTCCCACCTCTCCTTCAGCTGCCTTTTCCCTCCTGGGCTGTTTCTGCTGCAGCTCGCAGGATACAACGAGGAGGTGCTGGATGTGAAGTTCCTGGGCCCTGGTGACTCTCACATCGTTGTGGCCACCAACAGCCCCCAGCTGAAAGTGTTTGAGCTGGCAACGTCCCACTGCCAGATCCTGTACGGCCACACAGGTGGGTGACAGCGCTGCCCTGGGGGACGTGGGCAGCTCTTCCTGCATCCAGCTTCTCCTGGAGCTCTGGTGCAGAGCTGTCCCTGAGTTCTTGGTGGAGCAGCATCACAGCAGGTTTGGGAGTTGTGTGGAGAGAGGATGTGTCCCTTTGTCCCTGTCCCTGGCCTTGGTGGAGCAGCATCACAGCAGGTTTGGGAGTTGTGTGGAGAGAGGATGTGTCCCTGGTAGTGAGATCAGTTTAAACTGGAGCTGAAGGTGCAGGGGTGTGACAGGCTCAGTCCTTAGGGACCAGCCGTGTCCCAGACCTGTCCCCTGGCTCATTAACTGGGCTCATTAACTCACCCCTTTCTGTTGTCCCATCTCAGCGTTACTCTGCACCCACCAGCTTTTATTTCTTCTGTTTAGAAACAATCCTGGCTTTGGACGTCTTCAGGAAAGGCCTGATGTTTGTCACCTGTGCCAAGGTGTGTCACTGTTCTCCATTTAATGAAACTCTGCATTCCTAGTGATCCTTGTGGGCAAAACTGTGGTTTTTTAGGAACTCCAGAAAGGGC